TTATATATATATATATATATATATATATATATATATATATATACAGAGAGAGAGAGATAGAGAGAACTAGAAAGGATTATTATAAAATACACATAATATGTCTATATTATTTAATGAAACATATATATATATATATATATATATATATATATATATATACAATTCATATATAGGGTCATATAAAATAAATTAGTCCCAGGAGTTTGGAAAACTTGCCTGTCGTTTCAAAATGAAACAACCTCGCGTTAATGTGTTTTTCTCTGAATAATAAATAATGTTTCTATATGTGGATGTTGTTGAGAGAATTTGATTGATGTACGAATTGCTGTTGTGAAATTCTTAGTACTTAACAATTAGACTGATTCATAAATTCATACATTAACGATTTCTTGATCAATTCCAATGCATTCATTTAATCATTATGCTTTATTCGTTCGAGACTCTTTTATCAGTTTGTCTGCTTATCTAACAGTAAATTTAAATTTCCATTTGTTTATCAACAGAGTTCAATTAAACGCTCCATTTTCGTCTAAAGCAAAAAAGAGCTTGGTTTCATATATCTATGCACTTTCATTTATCATCAATCTCCCCTACTAATATATGCGCATACATTTATCCTTTCGACAACCACTGAAATTATATATATATATATATATATATATATATATATATATAACTCTGTCCAACTTAATAATAGATAGATAGATAACATATGAATAATATAATATGGATAATTAATGGTAAATATACCCAGTTGATTTCAAGATAAAATCTAGATTCTTTGCCCTCCTGAGTCATCGAAAATTATCTTTTTAACAAACTTATCTTCGAAATAAACTCGTTAACCATAACAATCCTATATATTCACCGTTTCAAATAGTTACATCTTTCACCGGTGCTTTTCTGTGGCTGATTCAATTTTCTCAAATGCTCAGATATTTAATGTCTACCCAATGTACTTATGATAAAAAATAGATTCCTTTCTACTTAGTGCATCACTGACAGTTTAAAGAACTGAACAGACATTCTGTCTCCTTTAACTACTATGGTGCCCTTAAACAGTTTGTAAAATTATTGCCATTCTTTTGTTCCATACTCACTAGCGTCTACTCAATGTACAATTTATACCAAAGGAAACTAAGACTGTAATGAAAGAACATTTTATTGTAGACTTCCAATCGTTATTTAAATTCGAAATAAAGTCAACGTTTATATTGATCTCACTTCTCTCCTTATGATGGAGTTAGACGATGAAAGTTTTCTCACTCCAACACTTACTTACGTACTGTGCTTCTTTGACGCATGCGCATTTACCGACACCAAAAAATGAGTATTATTTAAACAAGTTATTTTATAACTAACGATTATTCAAGGAGTGACGATTTTGTTAATTTTGATTCAGTATTAATTAAAATTTTAGTTTATTCTCTTGTATTTATCTATTTATTTGTGTGTAAATGAAGATTACGGCACCGATGTGTTTAATTAATTTCTATTCGTGAACCCATGTGGCTGAATCGGTGCGAAATACAGTTTTTCTGAAAAGATACAATTGTTTTCAACTGAAAGAGTTAAGAAAATACAAATTTTGTTAGTTCACATTTGTTATTGATTGTATGTGTATGTGTGTGCGCGCACATGCGCACTCTTCCACTTTAAATAATAGACAATGCTGCAATGCCAAATTCTTCACATAACTGATTCGTTTTCTACGGTTATCAACCCTTTGCAGGTTATTTAAATCCAGAAATCTTTTAGATTTTTGAGATAATAATGATTTACTAATACAAATCTGGAGAAGAAGTGGCTTCATACCTTTCCCAAGGATAATTGTGCGTAAATGAATATAACAGTCCCAACTGAAATTGGAACATGGCTCTCAGATTAACAATTCCGAGCCATTATCCATTACACCACCCGCACATCCTGGTATTCCGACACGGTTACTGATCTAGGTACTGATCAGGCTCGACGTTGCTTAACTTCGTCTATCGTACGGGAACCGGGGTTTCAATACTATGTAGCCGTAAGCCAAATTCTGTACAAAGTAAACAGACATTTAAAATAACAGCAACATGTTCTACATACGTACTAATATGTCTCTGTCTTTATGTGTAATTAGATTATCTAGACACGTAGATATAATCAGCTATCACCTTAACCTTATCATTAGGAAAAGAACACTCCAAATTTCTTGGACACATAGAATGAAGTCTTTGAAAATGTAACACTCACAGGACATATGGAAGGCAAGAGGGGCAGAGAGAAAGAGTACGTGATATACTTTGTACGCGATTATATAAACACACAGAACATGACTAGAATGTATAATAAGGAGACAAAGACACAAAGAATAAGAAGTTGTGGGGAGCTATGATCGCCCACGACCTGAAGAGACAAGACACATGAAAAAATATCAATAGATCGCAGATCGATGGTGAAAAAGCGATGTTCTATTTCCTCTTTATCTATCTATCTATCTATCTATCTATCTATCTATCTATCTATCTCTACATAGAGGGTGCGATGGATAAATTGTCGTGTAAATTGCGCAAAAATGTAAGTAATGCTGACATCTCATTATAACAGATATATTTACCAAAATTACACAAAAAATATTTTAAAATAAGATCTCCTGAAACTCTTCTGGGCGGCCTCCTTGCTTAAATTTAAGATGCTGCCATAATCCTTGCCTTCAGTTCATCTTTGGTGTTACAAAGAGTTTTGATGGTCTCTTGCTCAACTGTGCTCCACAAATAATAATCAAGGGGGTTGCAGTCTGGGGAGGTAGGTGGCCAGATATAAGCGGTGATGTGGTCGCAGAAATTCTCTGACAGCCATAACTGGGTTCTACTGCTTATGTGGCATGGTGCAGAGTCCTGTTGCCAGACACTGGATCTGTGTCTACACTCTTGAACTAGGGCAGCACTACCTTCTCAAGGTACTTGATGTAGGCTTCCGTGTTGAGTCTGAGGCCCCGTGGGAAGATAAATGGAAGCGTAACGTCACCATCACCAATGATCACTCCAAACATATTCGTAATCATCATTTGACCAATCCAAATCTTTCCAAATCTTATGCACTGTACTCAGATTGACACCCAGACACTCTGAAATGTTCGTATTACAGGTTCCGGCACAAAAGGCAAGCAGTACAGCATGCCGTTAAGGGAATTTCTAGCGGAGTGAATTTCGTCATGGTGCTGTTTTTCTCACAGACGGTGCACAACTGACCCTACCAGTCGCCAAAATCAAAAACAAACAACATGCGTGCACAAAATTAAAACTATAAAATGTCAGCAATTTACCCCTCGCACCCTGTGTGTATATATATATATATATATATATATATATATATATATATATATATATATATATAAAGAAAGAACAGTAAGATATAAAATCCGGTGATCTTATAGATATTTTTAGTTTTACAAAATAGTGCTCAATGTAATGTATAGTAAAATAAAAAAATAAAAAAATGTAACCTCATATACATACTTAAACTTGATGTTAAAATAATCCTACATAATATAATGGATTCTAATACATTTAACTGTTCTTAAAAAGAATATAGTAAAATAAAAATTAAAAAGGAGAATATTTCAAATCGTAGTTAAATAAAAAGTATTAGAAAAAAAAAAAAAAAAAAAAAACCGAAAATCTTTAAATTTAAAAAATGACGTTGAAATTTTTTTACCGTTAACAATTTTTTTTTTTTTTTTAAAATCCAGACGACATCCATTCAACTGATGTCAGGTTTCATTGTAAAATACATCCCTACCCCTTACCAAATTGTAGCTAATAACTGATACAATGATACTGACATAAGGAAAATCTAGACATCCCATGTTCAATTTAAGTAGAATATTCTGTAACCATGGAAACGTGATTTTAGCTGTGTCTTTAAAACCCGGTAATTTTTAAAAGTTACTCCAAAATTCGCTTGAAGATGAAATGGAACTAATGCTTTTAATTTAATTGCAAAATTAAATTCGGGGTTTTTAGCTTCTATTTTTGAAACATGGTTGGAACTGTGTAGCGAAAAAAACATATTTTAAATCAATTAATTTATAATATATATATATATATATATATATATATATATATATATATATATATATATATATATATATATTTATAAAAACATAAATATTTTTTAAATCACTATAAAGAGCCATATATTGTTTCAACAGCTATTATTTTAAAAAGTGATATATTCAATATGATATAGACACCGGAGGTATATAAATAAAATGGCTATTTTTTATATATATATATAACATATGTATGTTATAATTTTTTTAATAAATAATTCTATCTGTTCTACTTTTTACTGAGCACTTTTTTTTTATGAATAGTAATTGTTGGAATTTATTCCGTATACACCAATCATATATATATATATATATATATATATATATATATATATATATATATATATATAATATAATGTATGGTCTTTCATTCTTGTTAAATATCTATTACATTAAGATAGATAGATAGATAGATAGATAGATAGATAGATAGATAGATAGATAGATACGGATAAATGAACACAGCGAGATACAAAAGTAAAATATTTCAAATGATTACTTCTTTGAAAGAAAGAAAGAAAGAAAGAAAACATGATTCTTTTTCTGCATTTTTGCAGAAACAGATCAAACTTAAGAAAATGTATCCAGCGTCATTGATATCAATGCTGACCGTTCAATATGAACAACACCGTTTCTAGAGAGATCAGCCTGAAGACATTCTTAATGGTCCGCTATCGGGCTGCTTCGTAAGCCAAAATCGATATTAATCGGAGCTGAACATGAAATGACTAGACTGGCTTTAGGCGCCGGTAGAGTCATAACCCGTTAAAAATGATCCATAATATCACATCAAGAAGGTGCCTGGAATTTACCGGCCTTTGAATGGCGAATATTGCTTATACAGACCCGACTCTTCGATCAAAATTAGATCTCTTCATTTTTATTTTTTACTTATATAGAGTTCATGTTTAAGATTCTTTTTTTTATTAGTTATGTTGTTCTTCCAATATCTATCTATCTATCTATCTATCTCAGTTTATTCATATCTATCTATGTATCTATCTATCTATTTCGGTATATGCACTATCTATCTAATAGTTTGTTAATATCTATCGGTCTATCTCTCTGTCTCTCTAACTATCTTATCAACTATCTATCTCGGTATGTTCACTATCTATCTATCTCAGTTTGTTTAGATTTATTTATCAATCTATTTATCTCGGTATGTTTACTATCTATCTATCTATCTATTTCAGTCTGTTCATATCTATCTCTGTATGTTCACTATCTATCTATCTCTGTTCATTATCTATGTATCTATCTGAGATAGATAGATATCATCTGTGTTCATGTCTATCTATGTATGTATCTATCTCAGTTTGTTCATATCTATCTATCTGTCTATCTATCTGTTTGTCTGTCGGTCTGTCTCAGTTTGTTCATATCTATCAAATCTTTTTATCCATCTCTCTCTCCCTCTCTCTCCCACTTCTTTTTACAATAAATATTACATCTACTCACAGTATACAGATATTCTATTCTTATTGATGCCACATCAGACTGACATATCCACAATATAAGTCAAATAAAAATCTTTGACTCGATTCCCCTCCTTGTTGAAAATAGAGCTCCAAAATTTCAAGGCAATTTTTCAAAGTATCAATTTAATGCATGGAAATATCATTACGATTTCTTTACAAAATGATTTTGCATATTTTTAGTTTTTCTTCTTTTCTTTTTTCCCTTTTTTTCTAAAAGCTCCACTGTTCGTCTTTTTCTTTAACCGCTTGATATGATCGATATGATGTGTCTGGATTGTTAAATATATAAATCACTAGAAACCATTGCGGAATAATATCCTTCCCCCAAGGCTACAAAGACACAAACACGTCGTATGAGCCATTTTCTTATAACTCATCTCTTAATGTGACTTTTTCACCAAAAGACCGCCACTGTCTTTTGTTTGAAACTTTCTATTACATTATATAACCAGTTCTTACAATTATATGTGTTTTATTGTCTCGATTTGATTGTAACACACTTGTTCGTATGATAATCGACAAAAGTTATCTTTCATGTCTTTCTTGACTATGACGATATTCAAGTTCCAATGTTAGTCTTCGTTTGAATTAACCAATAATTTTTATGACTAAACAGTCTGTCTGACGAAACTGCAACAATGCAATAATTGCATCAAATGAAAATTGTACAAAATCCTTTTGATTTTCCTATCCCGCACCACATCTTTCGACTGGCCTCTCTCTTCAAAGTCATTTTAGCAGCAAAATGGATTATATATAAACGCATGCAACACACAAACACTTATGTATACTAAACGCCTACACAACAACATCGTGTGTGTTACCCATAACTCATTCCATTTTCCTTCACACTTAAATTTATCTTGAATCTTATTAAAAATGGCTGCGAGGTTAGTAACGTAATAGTTTTTTTAACAATGCAATTGTACAGTTAAATAGTTTAGTACAGTTAGTAAAGTAATAGCTATGGTGTGAACGGGCGCGTGGCCAAGTGATTATAACGTTAACGTTTCGTCTATGAAGCCTGGGTTCGAATCTCGCCACAATTCATTTGTTAAGGAGATGAGTTATTAATAATTTCGACCTAGAGAGATGATTTCCGCGTGCAGAGGATGGTCTGGAAGTGTTTTGATTGAAATTGGTTAGACGAAACTGTTGGGGATCCGTCGATGATTGTGTTAGCACGAAATCATAAGTCATTGTGACTGAGGGATCGGGCATACTGGCCTTGCAATATTGTACCCTTTCGGGTCCATAGTTGTAATATAAACCACCGACTGGCATTGTGAGCGTTGAAAATGCACAAATAATGTGCCTGAGTATGTGTCTGTCATAGGGATTAGCTAGTCAAATTAGAAGACGAGTATAATCAGAAACGTGCAACCATCTATCAATGAGAAAAAATGGAGCTTAATAAGTAAATGAATGAAACTATGCAAAAATGTTATTATATTAGTTTTGTAATATTAGTTTTCCTTTCATTTCCATTGAGCAAAGAAAACTAAGATAGTATAAACTTTCTGAGATGAAGACTGCATACAGAAAGGTAGCAGTGTTTTCAATATGTTATCAAAAGCAGCCTTTCGTATTGCAATGCATTCCAATACTTGGCCATTGGTATTAAAAAAAAAAAACATAACATTGAGAGTTTTTGTTTATAATCGAAAAATTTGAGCCCTATTGTTAGATGGAATCCGTCTTAAATTAAAAGTGTTGTTTCTTGATATGTTTCTCCAATTTCACCGCAAAATAAGAAAAATCGGGATATAGTTATAGCATTAGAAAGAATTATATCATTTTTCAATCATCTGAAACTTTTCTCATATCTCAGAAAACTTGGTTGGATTAATTAACAGTAATAATCTATATATATAAAACGCAATAGGAACATATGTGTGCGTGTGTGTGTGTGTGTGTATTTAGGCAGCAAATTGTCTTTTATGTATGTTTGATTGAATAAATTACAAACATTATGCCTGCTTATTTTAATCACAATCCTTTCATATTCACGAATATTTTCCGTGTATTACAATTAAATAAGACAAGAAATGCATTGTAACAGTGAGAATCATTTTTATTTCCGAAGTACATAATTTTTGTGTTACCAATTACACTCCTGATGATGATCTCAGAAAGAGATCGAAAGTACTTCAATCAGACATATATATATATATATGTGTGTGTGTGTCAGGACGGCCTGAAGATTGTGTTCAAGCATGAAACCTTAGTGTCCACTTTTATATTTACACGCGTTCTATCCCTGATATTGAACATTTTACCAATAAATATAACATACCTTAAAACTATATATATAAAGACATTTTTATTTATACATTCTTTTTAGAAATACAAATATTTAAGTAAATGCTCTGTTTATATTAAACAGTATTAAACAACATTTACCGGCCTGAATGTCCGAGAAATTTTCATAGAAATTATTCATCCTCCGACAGGAATCGAACCTGTATCCTATACGGAACCATCATATAGCCTGACGTGCCTTTAACCGATTTGGCCACAGAGGAGCGTTCGGTTAGCATGTCTTTTTACTGTCTTTAAACTATAATCTTCCATGATTCTCTCACGTACATTCATATCTGCTAATGGCGTATCCAAATGTAAACAAATGACGTCATACATTATGAAAGGAACAAAGTCCGACAATTATTTTAAGACATCTTTATGTTTATACATTCTTTTTATAGATACAAATATTTAAGTAAATACTCTGTTTATAATAAACAGTATTAATCAACATTTACTGGACTACATGTCCGAGAAACTTTCATAGAAAATATTCGTCCTCCGACAGGAATCGAACCTGTATCCTATATGGAACCGTCATATAGCAGATATGAATGTACGTGAGAGAATCATGGAAGATTGTAGTTTAAAGACAGTAAAATCGACCTTTGTAACCGAATGTTCCTCTGTGGCCCAATCGGTTAAGGCACGTCAGGATAGATGACGGTTCTGTATAGGATACAGGTTCGATTCCTGTCGGAGGACGAATATTTTCTATGAAAATTTCTCGGACATTCAGGCCAGTAAATGTTGTTTATTATAAACAGAACATTTACTTAAATATTTGTATCTATAAAAAGAGTGTATAAACATAAAAATGCTTTAAAAATTGTCGGACTTTGTCCATTTCATAGTATATATATTCTTTTTCTTACGTATATAAGCGACGTATTTTAGATTGTTTTAAAAGAGCTTACAGTTAAATGGATAAGAGTGAACAAATTATACAAAAACATTAATAGAATGTTATATGAAAAAAAAAAAGATCAAACGAATCAGAGAAAGAAGCTACAATCCATACATGAAGGAGAAACTATATATTATAGATTTTAGCGATGTCAATAATATACTAAGTAAAATGAATGAAACTATTCGGAATTGTCGGCACACTGATACATTCCTTTTGAAAAACAGGAAAAGAAAAATAGATCTTCGGGATGCTATTAACAAATTGCCACCCATTTGATAATATTGCTAAGCGTGAAACAACTCTTTTAAAGGGTAAATAAAACAAAAATGTTATATAATATATATATATATATATATATATATATATATATAAAGTTCAACATTTGTCTTCCTGAAGTTTCATTGATGTTAGCCACTTAAACAAACTTCTTTTTTCTTTCAAAACGATGTACCGTTCACAATATTCGCTCATGAAAATCAAGTCTTCTAGAAAAATAGTCAGACATTACATTCAGATGCTTTACAATTTCGATCGTAACGTAGAATGGTTGACCCAGTGACCTTTGTTTAAAACAGTTAATCCCAAATTGCATGTCATTAAATGTCACGTATGAAAAATAATCTGATGACAATGCAACGACAATAATGACAAAAAAAAACCCACAACTGCTTTTAAGATGACAAATTCATTCAAAATTCTAATGTTGTAATCTGGAGTCAAATCATAAATTAAGACTTTTAGATTATTCAGCAATAATCGATTTGCATTTGTCGTTTCTACTCCTAATTTATTTCAGATTTGTAACATCTGCTCATAATAAAGCGTTGGTCTGTTTTAATTCTAATTTGTTTCATGGCTTATATTTTTCAATTTTTTTAAAACTTAAAGTGCATGCGTTTTGTGTGTGTATGTGTTTCATTTTGCAATCTAACAAAAGAAGCATTTAAAGTAACTGATGCCAAAAGATATTCAAATACGTCAGGAAAAAATCTTCACAAAAAAAAAGCTAACAACAGAATATGCAGTGACAATTATAAGATATCGCAGCAATGAGTTTCCACATAAGAACGCCTTTTGTCTGCCTCGATTTGGTTTCTCTTTGTGCGATTTCGATAAGGATAGAGCCGTCCGCACATGCGTTAATGGCATCGGAAGGTGTGAGTGGCGCGCCAAAGATCGTTATCAGGAGTCAATCAAAAAAGAAAAAAAATAAGAGATAGGAAGAAAAACAAACGAAAAATAAAAAGAGATAAAGAGGAAAGAAGCAGAAAAAGTAAAGAAATTATATTGAATAAAACGAAAAAGTTAAAAAAAAGGAAAAAGATATATATAAAAACGAGAAAGGAAGACAAGCAAAACTGAAAGAGAATAAAAACGGGATAGTGTCAAGAGAAGAGAGTAAAGAACAAAGAAAAGGTCAAAACAGTGAAGATAACATTGATAAAGAGTCTAGCAACAGAATTTGTCAATCAAATCAGACTTTAGATGGCAGTTGGCGCTTATGGCCCGTTTTGTGCGTTTGAAATCTCACAGGATTTGCAATATACACTAGACCAGGGCATTTTTACAAAAGGAGAAATGGAGCTAGTAGTCTCGTGTGATAATAAATAAATATAAAAAAACGTACGCACGAAAACATCGTACAGAAAAAGGGCGTTAATAAGAGGTTGGTATCACTTGAAAGTTGGCCTGCACGCCTATCACAACAGGCGATCGATTAGGAGTCAATCTGGAAAAAAACGTATTTTAAAGTAATGGCAGCGATCTACAGAGAATTTTGTTGATCAGAAACAAAAAAAAATATTTAAAAATGAAAATTCTTCCAAAATAATTGTGCTCTAAAAAATATAAATTTTCAGATATTCAAGTTATCTTTGAAAATCTGCTTTTTTATGTGCCGTGTCCCTTCAGGGCGTGGGTAATCATGGCTCATCACAACTATCCTTTGGTACCCTTAAGTAGGTACCTCCAAACATTTTCTGAAAAAGAACATACCATGACGAAAAAAGGCGCTAAAAGATTTTTCCA